GAAATGTTCATTTTACATGGCTTAAATCCACTGAATAGTAATTTTGAGACATCAATATTTTGCAATATTTTATCAAAACCAACAAAGACTTCTCAGCAAAAGGCAGATAGTTTGGAGATAATATTAAAGGTCCTTCTGCCACCAGGAGTAGGCCTTTTTTTTTGTTTTGAAAAAGCATTGACCAAATGAATAATGTAGAGGCATTAGAAAGCCATGTTCCAAATTTGATATGGTTTTATAGGGTTAAGTACATCCACTCAGATGGCCACTATGAGTACCAGATAGAGTTTCTTATAGTTCAAACTGTAGTGCATAGTGCTAACAAAAACGATGTTAGGAATTTGATTCCCAGGAAACTGCATGAAGTAATAGTGTATACTAATGAATTTCTAGAGTCTAATGAATCTGTCCTCTTTTCTTCAGCTCACAGTGACCAAAAGAGGTCTGTCACTTTCACTGAGACCCAGCAGGAACCGGCTGGCAGATCTCCCACTGACACTCCTAGCCCCAGCAGTGGTTTACCAGGGGTCACAGAGGTCGGGAGGCTGAGCCATGCTCCATCAGAGTCCTCATCACCTAGCATCAATACTGCCCAGCACAAACCAGCATGGCCACAGGTCTGATTTTACCCACTGTCAGTCATAAGAGCACGTTGTTTGAATGAAAGCTTGCAGAGTTGTTGCTTAAACACATGCTTAAGTCTATATGCGGCTAATGAAAATATGTTGTAAGAGCCTTTTGATATCATTCCCATTAAGTAATGAAACAGAAATGCTATTTCTGAATGTTAAAAATGTTTGGGTGCATTGCGTGAGTGTTTAAAATTGAATGTAGCCATTTATACCTCTGAATCTGACACTTGCTTTATTTACTCCTCTCAGTATGAGAATAAAGACAGGAAAGACCAGGGGAGTGTAAGAAGCAGTCTTTCTCCAACCCCCTCTGCTGCCTCAAGCTCCACTTCTAGAGCCTGCTCCCCTCTTCCTCCTCCCCTCCCCATCCTGAGTACACCATCCCGACTGGCCCCAACCCAGATCAGAGAAAGCCCAGAGGACGAAGAGACCACTGGGCTTCTGCAAAACACGGATACCTCCTCTAGTGCAGGAGAGGACCGTGGCACGGAGAACCCACTCCTGACCTTGCTGCTCACATCTCCACTCCCCCTGTCCCCTGTTGACCTGGATCTGGACGAGTCTCACGTGTGAGAATGTCCAGCTTCAGGATACTGTGCTAGTTTAACAGGAAGTGGAAAAAGAAATCCTGTGATCAGATTTCTTGAATAACTTTTTTTTTGTAAA